GGGGGGATGTCTTTCCTTCGCCGTGAAGTGCTATTTGGGTCTGAAAAAACAACAACAAACAAACAAACATCTACCGATGTAGATATTTATGTATTTCAAACTGACCACAACAAAAAGAAAGTGTAACTCGGCAGTTTGAAATATTTAACTGCGTTGTGAATGGATTTCAAACCATGGTACTGTTTCTTCAGCTGCCGGTTCTATGGGAAAGAATAGGGTGGGAGAGGCTGAAGGGGTGGTATAAAAGACTTTTAACATAGGCTATTTTGAATTTTTCCTCAGGTTGGAGGTGAGTCGCCCTAAACGTGCACCAGAGCGTCTACACGAGGCTGTGCGTTACGACGAACTCAGCACCGACTACTCCAGTGACCAATCGGACAATTACTTCTCCGAGGTCGAACGACATTCACCAGACAGACGTGACACGCCCCCAGACACCTCGGCAGCCTACCAGGAACTAGGCCTAAGGTACAAGCAGCAGAGCGGTTTTGCATCGCGTGAGGAGAGGACGTGGCGAGTGAGGCAGTTCATCGAAGGGGCGGAGATTGCAATGGCTCGTCACTGCTGTCTGCGTTCTTTGCTCACGTTACTGCATGTGTGCATGGGAATCACAGCAGCTTTGTACACAGTGTACACTTTGGTGGGTGAAGGTTACAGTCTCCAATGTGTGCCGCCTCTTGTTGATCACTTTGGCGACCCTGTTCCTTTCGTAAGTACACTTTATTAAAATGACCTAACCCTTAGTGTTATCTATATTGTTTGAAGTGATTATAAGCTGAGAGAAATAAATCGACACCAGTGCGATCTCACGGCATTGCAATTGCTGCCAAACTCTTACTAAAACTACAGACTATGCTACCTGTTCTCTTTATCACTGCCGTTCTATTGATAAAATATTATGGGAGTTTTATACTACAGATTCATTTTCTTGCAAACTTGTCTGTACACATGCATCCCCACCCCCCTTAAATCCAATGCATCTTACTTTTTTTTATTTTTGTTTGACTGTTTGTCTGTGTTTCCATCCGTCTATCTACCCATGAGCTCACAGGCAACATGCTTGACTAAGGTGCTGATGGCCTTGGTTCAAAAAAAAAAAAAGAAAAAAAGAAAAAGAAAAAAGAGAGGCGTTCTTGAACTTTGTTTAAAAAAAAAGTTTTCAAGACTTTCTACGTTCTTGGCTTAGTCCTCACAAATATACATTTGTACTTTAATTTTGAAAGTCTTACCTCTGTTACCACCTTTATATGTTTATAGAGGCACTCTTCCCTCAGATAAGATAAGATAAGATACAGTTTTATTGTACTGATCCTGGCACATTGGTTTGGTGTTTCACCACGTACGCACACACACACACACACACTCTCTCTCTCTCTCTCTCTCTCTCTCTCTCTCTCTCTCTCT